TACATATAGTGAAGGTACCACCAACATATCTCGAATAATACATCATTTCATCAATCGCTCCTTTGAGCTTGGCTCTTTTGAGATTAGTCATGTAAACATCCGAGAGGACAGGACCGAACGGACTTTCCATTGCTACACCATTAGAAGATACGATTACAAGTAGTATGCTTTTGAGGTCAGTATAACAACATGACAAGATTGAATAGACTTTTAGGTACGTAGTAAACAGGGCTCAAAGCGATCGTCCCTGTTTCAAATCTTTCGGACGAGTTATTGACAACAGGAGACGTGACATGATTGTCTCTCTAAGCGATACTGACAGTTAATGTTTCAACATCTCTAATTCTCCAACAGCATTTAAACTAAGATTGTGCGATTCTGTGCTCCTCTGAAAATGAAGCCAATTCTTTTATCTTAGTGGCTTTGTTTCACATCCTTTAATACTGATCATATCACATTGACAGACACAGCCAGAATATCTTTAACGCATGTTTCGCCCCTTTAGTTTAGGATAGACGAAACAGAGCACATTCCTCTTTGTTATAATTAACGCATACATGTTACGAAAATTGAGATGAAAATAAACAAACAGTCAATTACTTCTGCTCAGAAAATGTTCAAAAGTTATCAAGGACTGCATTTATTCAAATCCAGTCTGGGTACTTCGAACAGAAAGTCAATTAAGTTCTCCATACCAACTTTCATTCGTTCTTGAGAAACTACATGTCAATTGAGTTGGTTTACGAGCACTGTAGAGAAATATATAACGTCGTCTCATTGAAACCGTTCAATATGTGAGCGCGTATCGTGTAATTATACGTTACCACAATGTTAAAACTACTTGGTCGGTACATTTGATATGGACTGCCAAATTGAATGTAGATGACATCGCAAAAGTTAGTCGCTTGGCAATTCGATAACTGTGTTGTATGACGGCTATCTTATTTGTGATTTTATTACATATATGGGTATCACGTAATAATGTCCAGATTGTCATTTATTTTTAGTTAAAATTTACTACGAATTATCTAACACATGTGTATCATGAGAAAACTTGTCAGAACAATGTAGTGGCTGTCAAGGTGTATAGTTATACTCGCCTTCAGGTCTTCTACATATCTCACCTGAATACTTTGTTTCTACACTTTCGGTAAGACGAAAACTTCGAAGTGAGACAGCAGCTCGAACGTTTCTGTTATTCGTTGTATCTAGATTCACTAGTGGGTAGTGTACATTCACTAGGTTTTCTGATTTGGCATTTTGATTCTTTGCTCGATCTCATTTATGTTTGTTTTAGCAGTATCGCTCACTGGCATCCAAACATTATATATATATATATATATATATATATATATATATATATATCGTGCTACCTTTTGTATATGCGTTCTATAGTGATGGTGCGGTCTAACATTTATCCCAAAAAGAGTCAAATAAGATCCCATAGAAAGTACTTATTTTGTGACTGACTCGAGAACTAAAAAAGTTAATGTATCTGCATAATGCTGCCGATTTTACATTACGTCTATCTTATCATTTACTAGCTATTACCAAAGACCTCTTTTTGCAGTCGGAAAAAACGGGGCGGACTATTGTCCTGAATGATTGTTTTTTAAGACTGGTAGATATATCACATACTTTACGTGTGAAATTTTGATGAATAACATCGCTTGAGGTTGCCAGACCTGATGAAAGTTTTTCAATAAGCTTCGACTGAACTTATAATATTTAAGCACGGCACCTTTGGAAGGTTGACGTACTTTGATATTATTTTTAATGACGAACAGTGATGAAGTATCCCGGTTGATCTAGTCAAATGAAGCTTTAAAACTGAAATATGAGTTGTCGGACATCGGTAAGTATATGTATATCCTGAAACTGATGAATGGTAAACATCCAGTACACAGAATCGATTCCAGTTCTGGAAGCACCCTGGTGTTTCTGTTTGCTTTCCGCACTCTTCACCGTTCGATTATTAGTAAGTTTGTAAGGTCACTGGATTTCACCTGAGTGTGTTTTACGTTTTCTAGTGTATTGCTTAAACACTGCTAGATTACGACTTCCCTGCCAACTTACCGTCGCATACTGATGTAACGATCTACAGTTGGCTGTGAATCTGTTCTAAGTAGTTCAACTGAATCCCAAAATTTTCCAATCTACTCAAAATTTGACTGCAGAATACTGGGTTAAGGTGCTAATAATTTAACAGCTCATAATATCTTTTATATATTTCTGGTTAATCACTGGCTTTATAATCAAGGAAAAAGTTTAACTTTTTCTCATATGTCAAGACCTGTTAAAAAACAATAAAAACTAACGGATACATAAATGTGACGGTGATTGTCAATATTTAGTTGAAGATAAGGATTTAGTTTATCTGCTGCACCACCACTGATTTTGCCCCATGCCACCTGGGATTTACAACCACAAACTACGGTTATTTCACGGACCCTAACCATACAGCCAACACCTTCCTAAACATCTAACCTCAAATAAATCACTCCCTGTAGTCGAACTAGGTGTTGATACTGACTAGGGGCATACCTCAAGAAGTTTTGTATTAGCACACGAAGCGTTCAGAGGACTGCCATTTGTCAGGATTTTGTCGTGTACATAATATGAGTTTGTAAAGGATCCTCTAGATAGATCAACCCTTTAAAGGTAAGATTATTAGCATTTAATGGGATCACATCTGTGATAAAATCATACAAATTGTTGAGAGTAGATAGCACTAACCAACGCCATTAAGTCAGTCCAAATATTACAATTCTAAAATGTTAGTAATATATCAGTCCTATTGAAGCATACCGTGTCTGTGTTAAAGTGTCTTGTTTTTAATTTGTTATTGATAATAATCAGGTGATATTTACGTTGCTGTGGGTGACCGTTCTTATTTTAATACCGAACACTGTGCCAGTCAATGTTTAGCATGGCGTCATCCTTGTTGATAATTCGCTAGTCCAGAAATCTATTTTAATTGAATATCTACTTGATGATTCCACATTTCCTGCAATCTGTTCACCTCTAAAATTTTAACCTACCCTTTAAAGTCCTAATTCATCTAGTTAAATAAGGGGATAAAAATAATTTGGTTTGAGCTTTTCTGAACTTCCTTTTATACATAAGGCTATAATATCTGTGAACCAGCAAATGTAATTATATTCATCATAATCAGTCGGTCGCATCGTAGAACCTCAGCCAGTCAGTCAGTAACAATGTGGAACTTCGTACGTACGTAGAACCTGGTACGTATAAAATTGTTAGGTCGAATCCCAGAGTAGTAGAGATATAACACTCAGTGGTAATAGAAAAGTTTGGCTATCGAAGATACGATTCAAGAAAATATAAACCAGTGGAACAAAAAACTGTAGGGAATCCGGAAGCTTAGATTTTAGGGGTAGACAAAGAATGGCTGCACTTCGCTATCGCAAACGATTCTGAGTTATATCATTCAATGTTCCCAACCACTGGTTACGATAATCACGCGTCCTAATAAAGTAGTCTACATCTATTAACATATTCGCCACTACTGTTTTCACTAGTAAGAAATAGATTTTCGTTTCACAATTTTCACCTTTTTATGATAACTGCAAGAGAACGAAATATGAAACAGCTTTACGATACAACGAAGAAACTATCAGGGAAATATAGTAAACCAGAGAGACCGGTCAAGGACAAAGAAGGCAGGTCAATCACTGAAATTCAACAACAGCGGAACAGATGGGTAGAGTACTTCGAGGAACTCCTGAATAGGCCGGCTCCAAAGAATCCACAGGATATCGAAGCAGCACACAGATCTTCCTATAGATGTCAATCCACCAACAACGGAAGAAATCAGAATGGCCATAAGGCAAATGAAGAGCGGGAAAGCAGCAGGACCCGACAATATACCAGCTGAAGCACTGAAGTCAGACATCGAAGTAACTACAAACATGTTTCATCTTCTATTCAAGAAGATTTGGGAAGAAGAACAAGTGCCAATGGACTGGAAAGAAGGACACCTCGTCAAGATTTTAAAGAAAGGAGATCTGAGCAAGTGTGAAAATTACAGAGACATTACACTACTGTCAGTACCAGGAAAAGTCTTTAACAGAGTGCTGCTGAACCAGATGAAAGGCACAGTAGACGCTCAACTTCGAGATCAACAAGCTGGATTCCGTAAGGATCGGTCGTACACAGACCAAATTGCGACACTACGGATCATCGTCGTACAATCAATTGAGTGGAACTCGTCAATGTACATCAACTTCATTGATTATGAAAAGGCATTTGACAGTGTAGATAGGAGGTTATAGAAACTTCTTCGACACTACGGAGTTCCTGAGAAGATTGTCAACATTATCCGGAACTCATACGACGGACTACAGTGCAAAGTAGTACATGGAGGACAGCTGACAGACGCATTCCAAGTGAGGACCGGAGTAAGACAAGGCTGTCTACTCTCTCCGTTCCTCTTTCTTCTGGTGGTCGACTGGATTATGAAGACCTCGACATCTGAGGGCATACAATGGACATCTCAGAACCAGTTAGACGATTTGGACTTCGCAGATGACCGAGCCCTCCTATCACATACACACGAACAAATGAAGATAAAGACAGCTAGCGTAGCAGCAGTCTCTGCATCAGTTAGCCTCAACACACACAAAGGGAAAACCAAGGTCCTCAAGTACAACACGGAGAACAGCAATCCAATCACTCTTGATGGCGAAATTCTGGAAGATGTGGAACCCTTCACATACCTGGGAAGCATCATCGATAAACAAGGAGGTTCAGATGCGAGTATTAGCAAAGCAAGGACCTTATTCCTTCAATTAAAGAACATATGGAACTCAAAACGAATTTCAACCAATATCAAAGTCACAATCTTCAATACGAACGTCGAGACAGTTAGTTACAATGTACGGAGCTGAAACTTGGAGAACTACAACAACCACCATCAAGAAGGTACAAGTATTTATAAGTGGCTGTCTACACAGGATACTCAACATCCATTGACCGTATACTATCAGCAACAGCTTTCTGTAGGAGAGCATAAACCAGGTTCCAGCTGAAGAGGAAATTAAGAAAAGACGATGGAAATGGATAGAACATACTTTAGGGAAATCATCAAGCTGCACTACGAGACAAGCGCTAACTTGGAATCCTGAAGGGAGGCGGAAAAGAGGAAGGCCAAAGAACACATTACGTCGGGAAATAGAAGCGGATATGAAAAGGATGAATAAGAACTGGAAAGAGCTTGAAAGGATTGCCCAGGACAGGGTTGGATGGAGAATGCTGGTGAGCGGCCTATGCTCCTTCACGAGGAGTAACAGGCGTAAGTAAGTAAGTAAGGATAACTGTTATTTTGTCTTGCTAATGTTTTACATTTGATCTTTAAATAATAATTTAATCATAGTCAGAATTATTTTATCCCGCGCTACTGTGGTAACAACTAACCTATGCATAAAAAAACATTTTAATACCATCATGATTAACGTAAGTTCTTAACCTTCTGGTCTCTCAAACAAACATTAACCATACTTAGAAAGATGAGCTAACAGTTTGTAATATCGGAATATCACTCATCTGGATATTTCTTAGCTCGTCGTCGTGATTATCTTTACCAAAAATAAAAAAATAATTCTCGTAATAATTTTTAAGATGGTATATTATCTGATGTCTTACCCCGTACAGTCAACTACCTCTCTTTTTTTGCCATTTGCAGAGGTATGCTAGAAAGACGCGGATATCGCTCACTTCATATTAGTCGTTTACAATTGAAACGATGGTCATCTTATCTTGCTACTGCGTTTGCGGTACTTGATAACTTTCAATGTCTTTATTATTAATTATCACATGTTTAGATTCTCTCGTTTGTTTTTATTTCTGGTGGAATTTGGCTTCTTGAAAATAATAGAATCGAGTCTGAAATTATCGGCAGGCGATATTATTACGAAGAAGGAGTTTTGTTTATAATCATTGGGATACTATTGCTTCTTTCGCTTGTTTGTCAAGCTTTTATGATTCATCTATTGTTTGTTGCAAAAAAGCCATGGAGATTTACTGAAGTCAAGGTAAAGAGAGCAGTTGCACTGGTAAGGTATATGTTGATAAAAACATAATTATCTTATACAGTATTTAGTTTTTCTGTTTGCAGTGACAATTCCTCATATTTATTGTTTGTACCATGTGAAAACAATTAGAACAAAAGTACGTACATCTTGTTTTTACTTACAGCTTATGTTTCATTACTCACATACATGTTAGTTGAATAATATCTACTTATTAGTAGATATCTTGCTCTAACAATATTCGTGTAATCCTAATGTTTGCTTTAGCTTTTAAGATAATCTTTATATCAAATTATATTGTCACGTCCAACATAAAGCGACTTTTTCACTGTTTACTAGTGAGCTAGGCGTCTGAGAAGTTAATCTCATTTATAAAAACGTTTGTTGTAGATTATTCATTCGAATTCCATTCAGCAATTAGTATTGAAGTATTACCTCTTTAAGACTTTGAGCTTTCTGTATCCATCTAGAGACCATCTTAAATTTAGCCTTATCATATTACACATAAAAGTAAAGTTTGAAATTAACTTTTTATGGGTTGTCAAATAATTTCTTTTGCAGTTCAATCTTTTCTCCCCAGAATATTCTATTATGTATTTTGATAGTAAATCCAACTAATAATCATACTCTCCAGTTTATGTTCCAAATACCGTCGAATATTTTATTGGTAAAACGACTTTCTATTTGCATTACTTCTTTGAGAATATACAAAAATATCTTTAATATAGAGACTGTATTTTTTACATTTTGTTACTTGTATATATTATGAACTTTCACTGTTACGTCACTGTTACAACAAGATATCCTATTATTGAGGAACCCGTTAATATCTCCATTATTTTACCAAAAACATCCTAGTATTGAACTAAAGGTACATTGTTAGGAAATGTATGCTTGAGATGACAATTTTTCTTTGCTTAAAGTCATATTGGCAAAATCATGTGTAACATATAGCTGGAAAATTGTGAATGGATCAACATGAAAGTCTAGTTGTACTAAATAATATCATTTCCAATTATCTTTAATGTGTCTTTAAATTTTTTTGAGTTATCTACGTTATTCACTGGGGGTGGTTGATTAAAAAACTAATTTCTCTAGATGGTTTTTCAAACACATTAAAAGATAATGTCACTAAGAATGTAGCGTAAATGACGTAAAATATCTCTTATATGTTATTTTAAGTTCTTCCTTACATGTACCCGATATTCGGGTTTTTGTATTGTCAGGATATTGTCAGGGTATAAATGGCTGAGTTACTTCATTGTGGACTAATTAGTGATCTACACTGGTGAGCGAGACTTTAAATAAATTCTCAGCACAAAATGTTTTAGAGAGTTCCTTTTTCTTATTTCTTGATCGATATTGACGATAAATGTTGAGTGATCACCAGTTAGATATTAGGTTTTTGGAAGTCGACATCTAAGTAATATTCATTCATTTCAGTGCCAGCCATCATAATGTCTCCGATTGTAAATTTTTGTAGCTTGTACATCGAGAGATCGTAATGATTTTACACACTCACCTGAATGGGAAGTGCAATTAACTGACATAATGATACGTTAAAACAAACAAGGAAACGTAAATCGTGTTGAAACATCTAGATGAGAAGAACAGGTAGCCCAGATATTCAGGCAGACCTTCGGTCTATAATTTATAATCGATAGTTAATCTTGTTTTGCGTACACAAGTGTATAAGTTACAAACAGTTGTATTCGCGTTGTCTTGTGGCTATACTTCTGAGTGTTTGATATGCTAACAAACATATTACACAAGAGCACTGACAGGCTGTCAATGTTTGTTAAAGTACCATGATAGCTGATTATAATCGTTGTTGATTGGTTAGTTTTATCAATTAATAAGTTAGTTAAGTTTAAATACTAATCGATATTGATATAAAGCAGCGAATGTTCGCAGTGATTAGTGAACCTAAGAGACGATGAAAATGAGAAAACATAGGTATAGAATGCAGTAATAGAAATTATAATGATAGATTTATTTATTTATTTAAAGTCTCGCTCACCAGTGTAGATCACTAATTAGTCCACAATGAAGTAACTCAGCCATTTATACCCTGGATAGTCCCAAAGAAGAAGCACAGCTATTCCTGTACAAACCAGGATATTCGACGTTTAGTAAGACAGAGGAAAAAACGTCTGATCATTGTCAATAGGTTTGGCACAGCAAGTACGATAGAACGCTACAGGTTGGTACGAAGTAAATATATGATTACAATCCGAGAATCTCAGCAAAAATATGAAAAACATTTGGCCAAATCAGTAACCAAGCGGTCTAAGAGACTATTTTTGTGCGTAAAACACTACAAAAGAACGACGCAACACAGGATTCCCAACCTAATTACGGAAGGAAGTGAACCTAAAAAGATAGATGATCAGGAAAAAGCAGAGGGTGTAGAAAAGTATTTTGGGAGTGTTTTCACTCATAAGACTCTTCTAGACGAGAAACCTGACCCCAAAATTTATCTGCTTACTGTGGACTTCAAGACGATACGCTTAAGGCCCTTAGCACTTTAAACACATAAAAGTCGACAGGATCAGATGAACTACACCCTAGTGTCATTGTTCAAATACTAGAAACAATAATCAAAAGACCATAATGGAGACCAACAACCTGTTAATCAGCGAACAACATGGTTTAAAGAAGGGGCCATCTTATGCAACAAACTTCCTTATATCAAGAGCAAAATGGATATCGGTCCTAGGTATGGACTTCGGCAAAGCTTTTGATTAGGTGCCGAACACTGGACTACTCTTGAAGCTGGATAATCATGACATTGCCGGATCTTTCCAAAAATGGCTTAAACATTTCCCGGTAGGTCGTGGAAAGCAAGGATAAATCCCAAGTGCTCGTTCTGGAAACCAGTATTTAGTGGAGAACCAATAGGTTCTGTTTTAGGTTCTTTACTTTTCATACTATGTGTAAATGAACTCCAAAATTTAGCTGAGTTCGCAATGATACTATATGCTGATGTAAAAATCTGGCAAGAAATAATAAAAGGCGCAGTTGCATGCACGCTTCGGACAGACTTGGATATGATGATTAACAAAGTACAGAGGACCACCACCCTGGCAAATCCAGAACTCTGGAATTTCCATAAAAAGAACTGCTTGAGAATATGGTATAGGCTTTTTTATGCTTAAAGTTCACCAATATGATTTAAAAACTAAAGTTTTACCATGTCATTATTGTGAAGTGAATATGATCAGTCAGTCAGTCAGTCAGTAACAACGTGGAACTTCGTACGTACGTACATCAGTTCGAGTTCCATATCACATTAGCACAGAGATTCAGTTATCGATTCAAATCCCGTAGTAGTAGAGAAAGTGATAAGGAACATTAGGGTTTGATGATGTTATTTAAGGAGTATATGTTATGATTTTGATGTCCGGCTTACGATCACGTGACTTATACACCAATCAGAATACGGCTTATACGAATATTCGCACTATGACAAGGCCAATGACGTTCAACCGGTCTGAGCAGTCTAACGTCCTATTGGGTCCTACGTCCTTCTAACCCGTCCTCTTGAGTCCAGAACACAAAAGCAGCTTCCGAATCAACCAAATCATTTATTTCAGACATACTCGGTTTATATATCAATCAGGCAGACCACAACGTACCATAAAATAGAAAATAACATATGTACACAAATAGGCCAAAAAGTGGCTGTGAATGTGGGAGACAGTAATTAATAGACAGGTTATAACTCAAGAATAATAAATCGTATAGTAATAATCTATGGTCAAAATAAAGCTTATAATAAGTGGAATATAAATACACATAATGTAATTCTTGAATAATTATACAATAAGAATATTTATAGAATATTAGTCCATTAATAGTCCTCGAAAGTTACCTGTAGTTTAGCCGTCACTTGTATATAACACCTCCCTTTTTTTTGAAGCATTAGAGATAATAACGATCCTTAGGATTTATTTTTATTCGATTAGGTTCCCGCCTGATACGCTGCGACCTCCTGGGGAGTGTTGTATGTGTCCTGTTATTTTTCGGGTCATTTTTAATTTCATTATCCGACTCAGTTAATATATTTATTGGTATACTCGACTTTATACGATTTCCTGTCTCCCGCTCCTGTATGGTTGGCTGCATCTGGTTTGCGTGTCGCACCCATATCTTTCGTCCAACTTTTACTTCATAGATAACCTTCCCTTTTCTTCGTATTATGATGCCAAAATTCCAGGTTGGCTCTACTCCCGCGAAATCTCTTACTATTACGGCTTGTCCCACCTTAAAGCTTCTGGGCAATGCACCATGTCGCTTGTTGAATTGCTGTTCCATTCGTTTGTTCTTGCGGAGGTTGGCTGTAGGTTTTGGTTTCATTTGCTCTATAGGTATTCTAATCTTTCTCCCAAAAATTGCTTCTGCTGGACTTTCTTGATTATTTGTTGTTGGGTTGGGTGTTGCTCTGTAGGTTTGTAAGAACCTTTGGATAATCTCTTCTATTTTTCCGTCTCCTTCGGCTTTAAGCAGTGCTCTTTTAAACGTATCGACGAACCTCTCCACTAGACCATATGACTGCGGATGATATGGAGGTGTCTTTATATGCCTGACGGTGTTTGCGACGCAGAACTTCGAGAATTCAGCGGAGGTAAACTGTGGTCCATTATCAGACACCAGTACATCTGGACACCCAAAGCAACTGAATACTTGTCTCAGTTTTTCGATAGTAGCTTTTGTCGAAAGAGACTTCATGCAGTGGATCTCTGGCCATTTTGAGAAGGCATCAACAATCACCAAGTACTGTTTCCCGTTTATGGGACCTGCGAAATCCACATGTACTCTTGACCACGGATTTTCCGGTGTCCCCCAACTCAGCATTTCTGTCTTGCGAGGGGCTTTGATAGCTTTTGCACACGCGGAACATCTCTCAACATAGTCTTTGATCTGAGCGTCAATATTCGGCCAATATACATACCCACGTGCAAGTGCTTTCATCCGTGCTATCCCTGGGTGTGCAGCATGCAGTTCTGACATCACCTTACGGCGTAAGTTTGTGGGTACAATTACTCGATTTCCAAACATCAAGCACCCATCCACAAGTGATAGAGAATTTCGACGGTGAGAATGCTGTTCAATATTTTTGTTGTCTATATGGGTAGGCCAACCATGTTCGAGGTATCGAATAATCTGCCTCAGCTCATCGTCTTCTTGAGTATGGTGTTTAATGTCTTCAGAGGATAACGGTGTTGCTTTTATGGCAACTTGTAGTATATGATGAATATCATTTTCCAACGATATCGTCGCGATAATAGAATCTTCGCTTTCCTGCTTCTGATTCGCAATTAATCTGGATAAAGCATCAGCTTGTCCAAACTTTTCAGTTGATTTATATAGGATTTGGAAATCGTAATCAAGCAGCGTAATAGCCCAGCGCTGTAATCGATTCGCTGTATATGCAGGAATACCTGACTTCGATCCAAATATAGATAAAAGCGGCTTGTGGTCCGTTAAGAGAGTAAATCGACGACCATAAATCATTTTATGGAATTTCTTTACTGCAAAAACTAAAGCTAGTCCTTCCTTCTCAATCTGACTATATTTTTGCTCAGCTGAGTTAAGAGTTCGGGATACATGAGCAATTGGCTTTTCTTTACCATCAGGAAAACGATGGCTGATAACAGCCCCAATTCCATAGTTTGAAGCATCGGCGGCTACAATTATTTCAAGCTTAGGATTATAATGAGTCAGCAACAATTTAGAAGATAAAATCCTTTTTATTTCATCGAAAGAATCTTGACATTCCTTTGTCCAGTTCCATGTTGCATTAGCCATCAAGAGTTGATTAAATGGATGTCGTAATTTATACATATGGGGTACGAACATACTATAATAACCAATCATCCCCAAAAATGAGCGAAGAGTTGTAACCTCAGTCGGTCTGGGCATATTTTTGATGGCATTAATATTATCTGGATCTGGTCGACGACCATTTTTATCAAATATATATCCAAGGTACTTGACAGACTCGAGCTGAAGTTCACACTTTTCTTTTTGTAACTGAAAACCGGCTTGTGATATTTTTGTGAGCACCACATCTAACCGACCCATTAATTCCTGCACAGAAGAGCCAACAACTATAATGTCATCCAAATAAACTGCTACACCTTCGACGTTAGACACCATAGTATCCATTATTTGCCGGAAAATTGCTGGGGCTGGCTTAACACCAAACGGTAATCGGTTAAACCGATAGAGTCCGCGGTGGGTATTAA